AAAAGCCTCTTTTCCCCAGAGCGTCAACATCCCAGTGTTCCTCAGTCAGCTTCACTTATGTAGGTCTCAGAATTTTGCTTTCCTCGCTGCGGAATGTTAATTTGATACTCTTTCAAAAACACCCACAGAGCCTCGAAAATGATGAGTGATATGGAACATAATAGGTGGCAGGATGGGCTTTTCTTAAAGAAGAAACTGAGCACCAGAAGATGGCAGTGCTGGGAACAAACTCCACCCCCTGAAAGGCACCACGCGGTCCTCCACTTCCAAAGCAGAGGAGGACAGGGAGCCCTTGAGCCCCAAGCGCGGCAGCCTGGGAGGGTGACGAGGCGGCATGGCCTTGGTCTCCATCCCCACGGAATCGGCAAGGCAGGTGTGCAGGCAGAAAGGGTGCGAGGCACATGCGTGGGGTTAGTTGCGGCGGTGGGGCGGAATGTAGCGATGCCATGGGTGGTACAGATGGGGGGGGAAAGAGGCAGAGCAACCCGATTCCTGCAGCTGATCACCCGCCGGACAAGCACAAACACACAAGGAAGGGAGCAAAGTGGCATGGCCGGCACCTCGCACTTCTGCTGCGAAAAGAACCTTCCCCAGGAGGCCTTCCGACCCTGCGCCCCTGCAAAAGTGCCCATTTCCAGTCCCTCGGCACGGCTGGCCATTAAGTGCTGCCCCACGGAGCGCTGAGATGATGCAGGGGTCACAGCGCCCCGGAATGGGCTTCCTCGGCAGCAGATACCAGCCGCACTGGCTGGGCAGGATGAGTGCCGTAGTGAAACTTCTGGATAATCCCGCTGTCCGGGAGAGCTGTGGGGCACCCAGCGATCCAGCCCAGGGCGGAATGTGGCATTCACCTCCCAAAGCGAGGAGTCTGAGCAGGGCTGAGATGCGCAGTCGGTTTGATGATGCGATTAAACAAGAGTCAAGTCCTTCCAATGGATTAAAAGGGTATCCCTTAATGGGCGGGGCAGCGGGTTTTTTGGAAAAGTATAAATAAAAGTACTCGGAAAAACTGCAGGTGGCAAACTCCATCTTAGGGCCAAATTATATGTGAGGCTGAGGATGCGACTCGGTGCATCTCTAGACAAGAGAAGCCCACGTTCTCCAGCTGGCTTCCGGAGGCACTCTGAAAACTCACACAAGGCTTCTGTTTTCCACGTGCTCGTTCTTGTGTCAGCTTCACCACCACCACCAATTCCCAGGGAGAAAGCACCCCTCCCAAAACATATCCATCCTCACTGTGGACCATGGTCTCATGGAAGGGCAGCTGGGCGGGATGCAAGAGCATGGTTCTTTGGGCCTCCTGAGAAAACCAGCAGCGAGCACAGGGCTCCCCAAACTGGAGCTGGGCCAGCACCCTCCACTAGCCCAAAAACTGGTCCCTGCTGTGGAGAGGCCACGCAGCAACCTGGACGAGACACACCAGCTCTACTCTGCAGGGTGTCGCAGCACCAGGGGCTGGAGAACAATTTTAAGTGAGCAAAGGGGGCACGAGCCCCACTGTCCCTTCCCCATTCCGTGGCCCCACAGTTCCGGTCAGCTGTCTCTGCCCCCACTGGCATCCGTAGGGGAGACTAGCCTAGAACAATCAATCGTGCTGTATCAATGCCTGTCGGCGCTTCACATGACAGGCCTCCCCTGTCATCTCAGATGACAGCCGGAAGGAGGGATCACGCGGAATATTCCCTCCACACAGAAAACAAGAATTCTAGCCTGCCTGACCGGCTGGTTTTCTCTGTGCAGAGATTTTCTTCCTTTTGGGAGTCTGGAGGAACTTTCCATTATGCTGAACAAGGCACCATCCAGATCCCATAATCCTCCAGCTAGCAGAGGAATTATGGGGGCTGCAGTCCAGCCTATGTGGAGGGTGCCATACTGGAGAACGCCGGCCTCATGGAAATTCGGGCATTAGTAGAAAGTATTTGTCTTCTTCACTCTTAGAGCCATCGTCTGGCCAATTTCTGCCTAGTCTGAAAGTTGGCAAAAGTGGGGGGGAGGGGGGACGAACGACTGTCTGTTAAATGGAAAGGATGTCTGTCAAGCAAGGTTAATAAATAAATTAATTAATTTTATACCACCCCATAGCTGAGGCTCTCTTAGTCTCTTTTCGAAGCTCTACTTTTGCCCTACAGGAAATTCTCCCCTTGGTCATCTGCAAAATCAAACACAGCGGCCTGTGTGGGTGGAGAAGCACCCTACAAAATCGGTCCTTCCTCCAGGGGGAAAGGCAGGACGCAGGAGTGCTGGGTGCCAGACACCTCCCCAGTGCAGAATGGAAGAGTGGGTCTGAGGACGGACGGACGGACAGACAGACAGACAGAGGCAGAGAGAGTCCCCAGACAAGTGCACCCAACGGCTCCACCCTGGTTTCTGTGCGAGCGAATTGCATCCCTCACTCTGGCAGCCCTGCTGAGCGCACAGTGCACGTCCTAGCCGTCTACTCAGACGCAAGCCCAGCAGCATCTGCCCAGGGTTACTCTCACGGCACTGCGGCCCAGTTCCCCTCCTGGGTGCTGCTACCCACCGCCCTTGCGAGCCCCAGCAGCTCTGGGCCAGGGGCACCTTCAGGAGGCGGGCAGGTGGGCAGGAGGCAGGAGGTCCCCAGGGATGGCTCACGCATGCCTGGGCTGCAAGGGACTCATGGCCCACGGTTCTCTCTCACCCCCCCCCCAAAAGCGGTGTGTGCCGCGCATTCCCATGCCAGGGGCGTGCGATGGTTTGCAGAGCCTCCCAGAGGGCAGCTTGAGGCGCGTGTCTGTCGCGCCCGGCCTGCTGTTCACCCATCCCCTTGCAGCATTTTGGGCAGCTCCACATCCACGCGGATTCTAGAGCAGAGGACGGTATGAGGCTGAGACAACAACACGTCGGCAGCATTCTGAAAGCCAACAACGCCAGGCCAGGCCTGGTGCACAAGGAAAGGCCTCCTGGGGCAAGGTGGGCTTTTGTCGCAGGGCCAAGAAGGGCACGGTGATGGCGCCCGCCTCACCGCCCAAGGCAGGAGTACCCAGAAATCCCCACCCAGGCGCTTCCCCTCCTGTTGCCACCGCTCTGGGCCTTCTGGCCTGCACTCCTGCTCACAGCCATGTCCCGGATGGCAGCTACAGCCAGTCACGAATGCATGAAGTGTCCCTTTGCGTTTGAGGAAGAGCCGTGGCTCGCTGGTAGTGCCCTGAAGGGGCAACGGGTGCAATTTCTGGGGTCTCGGGGGCCTGGGAAAAAACCCCAGAGTGCAACAACCCATCAGCATGGACAATACTGGGCAAGACGGGCCAAGCATCTGGTTAGTGCGGGAAGGTAGCCAGGCCCAATGGCAGCAGAGCTCCCGGGCTTGGACTGGCAGCGTCTCCGGCGTGCTGGGACAGCGAGAGGACTTTCCTCCACCCAGATCCCTTGGGCCAGTGGCGGCGAGGACCGAACCCGGGGCCTTCTGCCCCCGAGCCCTCCCTCTCCCCATCACAGCCCTGTCCCGGCGGAAGAGCAGCCCCCTGAGGACGAGCTCGGCCCAGGCTGTGTGCCCATTCAGGGAGCCGCAGCGAGAGGGATCCCTGGGCCAGCTCTCGTCGGAGAGGGTGGAAGACGGCAGCCCTTGAATCTGACTCCCCCTGCGGGGGGGAGGGAAGCCCCCATGCAACAGGGACTACTCCTTTGGGCAAGAGGCATCCCGCCATCGGTTGGGTGCCCTTTTCCCCAGCAGGCTCTGACTTGAGACACGAGCCGGCACAAATGCATAACAACGCCTGTTGAATCCCTGCCTGCCGTGCAGGCATCAAAGGGCAGGGGTCCTGTCAAGGAAAAGGAGCAGGTTGCAGTCTTCGCCCCAGAGACACGGTCAGCCCAAGCACTGGCCGTATTTCAAGAGGGCCAGCGAGGCGGAGCACCACCTGAAAGAGCTAGGAGGGGAGAGCTCTTACAAAAGAGGCTGAGACTAGGGAAGCCAAGTGGCCAAGAAGACAAGACACCCCAAGCTTGAACTGTGACGCTTTCCACAGCCTGGGGACTTCCGATCATCAAGCGGCTCTTAAAAGCATCGGTAAGTTCAGGCTCTCCTCTGTGCCTGCCAGCAAGAGCCCCACACTTCCCAACCCAGAGCTCCGGCCTGCCGGCTTCAGGAGCGCTGTGCTCGGTTTTCCTTGGCACCATGCAAAATGTGGCATTTAGTATCCCCTAGCTATTCTGCTTTGGTTTTTTAAAAAGAGGGTTTCTAGTCCTTTTGGCCGTGTCATGAGGCTTAAAATGTGCACTGTGTCCGGGCAGTTACAGAGGCACCTGCCCTCTCTCTAGAGTTTGCAAGAGGAGAATGGAAGGTGGAAAAGTCTCTGCAAAGGGACTTCATTCGCATAATCCATACCCCCACCCCACAAATCTCCCTGGAGTGGGGGCGGTGGATCAAGGGCAGGAGCAGTGGGGCTGCACAATGGGAATGAACTCTTGCTGGGAACGTACTCCTAGGAAAGGCGACTCAACTTTCGGGGGGGGGGGAGTGGCACAAGTCCAGGAAATCGCCAGTGAGTGGCAGCCAGGAAAAAGTGAGGGCGGGGGCAGTGGCTCGGGACGTGGCCCCCTGGGGCACCCCAGAGGGGCAGCTTTGGCCACAGACCTGAAGGTCAATGCTCCTGGGGCGGACCACTAAATTTAGCCCAGAATTTGGATAATTTTGGAGGAGGGGGTTGTCATGTGCTCGGATCAATACAGTGTCTGACACTTCAGTCTCCACTAGTGTTCCAAATGCCCCAGGCACTCTTGCAGTTCCAGTTGCAACAGGCTGACCTGGAGGGGCCTCAAGGGATGGGGAGGGGCCTGTTGATCCACCCCTTTTATGCCCCCCACCCCTGGGAGAGCCAGCCAGGCCCATGGCTGAACAAAGCGAGTGCCTTCTGGCCTGGGGGGGTGCTTCTTGCAAGGTCAGCTGGTCCCAGGGCATGGCGGGGTTGAGAACCACGGAGGGGGGGAGGCTGAAGTGGGGAGGGGGAGACACATGGGGGCTGCTACTGCCCAGAGCTTACCCAGGTGCCCTTCTCTCCTGGTTCACCTTTGGGGCCCGGATCACCCTGCAACCGAGCAAGAGAAGGTGTTAGGGGACGAAGCCGGCACTCCTGCTCCTCCTGTTACAGGGAGCGATGGGAATGGCGGAGCTCAGCCCGGCCAGGGGACCGTTTAGGGCAAATTCGGTGGCTGCCGGGGGTGCCACATCTCAAGGGCATCTCCCTCAGAAAAGGGGTACAGAAGGGGCACAGAAGAAGGGGTAAAGAAGAGACAGGTGAACAGGGCTGGCGAGGAAGCGGCGTCCCGCATTTTGATCATTCGATCAGCATCTGGCCATTCCACATGCTATCGCAGTTTTCCCGGGCACACTGGCCTCCAGATGTGCTTGAGGGCCCCAGGCCATTGGCTGGCTGGGGTTGATGGGAACTGCAGGCCAGCGCAACCGGCTGGGAGGACCGTGCAGAAGTTATGCCGCTCAGCATGCAAGGCCCAAGGTGGGAGGGGCTCTGGAGCAGCAGAACTGTCCCTCTCTCCAGGAGGTACAGGAGAGACTGCCCGCCCCGCAAGCAGCAGGGTTAAGGCTCCGCTGGGGCAGGGACCTGGCAGACGGCGTCCCAAGGGAAAGGTTCCCCCCGGAAGGTCACCTTTCTCAAAAGGCCCAAGAGAAGGTGCCAGTTAGGGCTGGGCTTGCCGCAGGCAGCCCGGGCACCTCTGGTCTTTCCTCAAAGAGTACGTCTTCTCCACCACCCCACCCACTTACCCGCTCTCCGTCCAGACCTCTGCGGCCAGGATACCCCTGTGGCCCCTACAAGAGAGGTGAAGATGAGAGAAGCAAAGGTGAGACTCTGCCGGGTGCCCCGATTCGCTCCCTGGACTGCGGGCGCCTGGCTAAAGCCTCTTCCGCCTCTGCTCGGCAGCCCGGCCTGCTGGCATGAGCGGCCCGGAGCCTGCCCTGGCCCTTCTGGCTACACCGACGGACATGAGAGCCCGTGCGAGGGCTGGATCCCAGCCTGGAGGGAGACGTCTGCTCCTTAAGGTGCTCTGGCTCGGAAAGCAAGCTCTGGGGACAGCTTCTCCTACTCCAGCTGAAGCAGCTGGGGCTCCTGACCTGGGTTGCATGGCAGATGTGGGTTGCCAACTTGCATGTGACCGCTGCAGCTATGCTTTTAAGGCAAGGCAGCAGCACGAGCGATACCTGCTCTGCACATTGCTGTTGCAAGGCCGTAAGAGCAAGAGAAGCCGTTTCTTCCGACAATCTTGTGGGGCAGGGAGTGCACCCGAATCGGAAACCTGCAGCGCCAGGAAGCTGTGAAGGTGCTAAGGCAGAGATGTTGAGGCTGTTTCACACTGAGGCCTTGATGCTGCTAATCAGGGAGGCCTTTCAGCCTTTTAAAACAGGGAAATGTCCAAAGGTCAGGAAGGCACCTGCTGGCTGGCCGAAGGGGTGGGGGCAGAGGAGGTGGCAGAGACCGAGAGCTAGGCAGGCCAGAAGTGGCCCACAGGCCTGGGGTTCCCCACCCCTGTTGCAGGAAGATAGAAAGGGGCTGTCTGCCAAGATGGCCTGGCTGATTCTGACTACTGAGAAGAACCTTCAGGCCACTGGACAGAGAACCCTGTGTAAAATAAAAAGAGGAGAGGTCGTTTTCTGTCTGTCCCCCCGTCTGTCTGTCTGCTCTTTTAGACGGGTTGCAAAGAATTCCCAAGAGCCCTGCAAGCTTGATTCGCTGAAGGCCACAGAGGGCTGGGGGGACGCCGCTCCTCAGCCAGGGCCGGCTTCACGTGCATGGCAGCCAGATGCAAAGAGCCGTCTCCTCTCTTGGGGCACCCGGCAGGCTCCCTTGGTGGCCAGGCTTGGGTCAGCAGCGGCGCTCTGGAGGGGCCCCTGAGCAGCCCCAGAGGCCAGAGCGCAGCACGACTCCTGTTTCCCACCTCGCATCCTCTGTCGCTGTGCGCCAAGGCACAGCATGCGACCGACATGGTGCCTCCCCACCTGGAGCACTGTTGGAAATCACACGGAGGCTCGACTGGGCCACCTGCACTCCTAGGCAGGCTGGTTTTCCTTTTTTTAAGGGGCCAAGGGCAAGCGTCTGTGATGGCCCCCGAAGGGCCCCGGCAGGGCCTGAGAGATGGAGAGAGCAAACCCCGACCCTGCCTTCATCCCTCTGAATAAAGCTTTGCCCCTTTCCATTCACATGGCCCCACTCCCTTCTCCTGGATGCCAGCCCAAAGGTGGTGGGCGTAACCCGCCTAGGCTCCAGGGACCCCGTGCCTGCCCAGTTGGGCCCTTCCAGGGACTGGGTCCCCCAGGGGTCCTCTGGGGCCTGGTGAAGGGCGGGGGCGGCAGGTGGGTACTCACTCTCTCGCCTTTTTCCCCAGGGGTGCCAGCCGCACCGTCAGCACCGGGCATTCCGGGGCTTCCCTGAAACGAACCGCAACCTCATTAACAAGCCGCCTTTCCTCCCGCCCCACCTGCCCTCCCACTTGGCAGCAGGGCTGACAACTCCTGCTGCTGAGCCCTGCTCCGAAGGGCATGCTCTCCGTGCGGCCACATATGCGGCCGCCATGCGCCAGGCCCCAACCGGGGCCATGGGGATCCAGATTCTTTGAGCAGCACCACTGGGGACTGCTGCAGGGGCTCGTCTGTGGGGCTGCCCAAGAAATCCACCTGGCTCATGCAGAACAGAGAAAGAACTGCCTGGAGCCGAGTGCAGGGAACGCGACTCAGGAAGCTCAGTAAGAGCTGAAGCCGGGTGCTGGGAACTAACTCCAGGGTCTTCTGCAGGCACAGCTCGTGTTCTGCCACCGAGCCCGGGGCCCCCCTGCAGGCTTGCACCTCGAGCCACACCTCGTGGGGTTTTTGCCCCCAGCCGTGCATCACGTAGCTCCTCAGCCCCATATCTCACCCACCAGGCGCGCGCATTTTCCTAACACGTGTGCGTTTCTCCCCGTGCTCTGCAAGTTATTTGGGACAATGAGAAAACCACAGTCTCTCTGCACCTGAGTTCACACGCAGGTTCAGGGAGTGCAGCCTTGGTGGGCTTGCCTTCACGTGCCACCCAGACAAATTTACACTCCATGCCCCGCCTCCCCTGGAAATATCGCTCCCTCGCCGGAGGAGTGGCGTACTTACGTCCTGTCCTGGTGGACCAGGTGCTCCAGCCGGCCCCGGGGGCCCTAGAAGGAGAGAGACGCTTTCGGGTGCCGCTCAGCAACTCTTCTGGCCAGCAGGCGAGACAGCTGCGCCTGCAAGGGCTGGGCTGGGGCCCAGGATACAAGCAAGCCTGCTTTCTCCAAGAAGGGAGTGGCACGGGGGGCGAGGAGAAACAGACATGACCCCTCCGTGCCTTCGGCGCTCCTCCACAGGAGCCGGGCAGAATGGCCCCAGAGGAGCAGCAAATGAAACCACAACCACGGAGGGGGCATTTGGGGAGGGGGCGCTGAGAGGATGCCTCAAGCTCCGCAACTGGCACAGAGTCCGGGCCACCTGGGCCAGGAGCTGAGGGTCTCTTGGGCTTTCTGCAGTCCTGGGAGAGCACAGAAACAGCGCAGAAGGGAGAGGCGGCAGGGCATTCTGGGGAGGGCTCCTGCTCTCCTTTAGTTCCAGAGAAAAAGCAAACCAGAGGTTCCTAGTCCTCACGGTGACTCCGTGCTTGGAACAACCCGTGAAGAGAATGGTATCGTTCGTTGCAGCATTGTGAACTCACGGGACCCATCCAAGCACCTCCGAGGAAATCCAGGCAGGAATTTTCTCGCATCCCACGGAAGCTCCACACATCCCTGCACCTGGCCACGACTTTTCCGCTACGGGAAGCGCAATTACCCAAAGCACCACCAGAGGCCAGTCGAACCCCAGCTGTGCAGGGGGAAGGCAGCACAGCCCTCTGTGGTGGATCGACTGGCAGGCGGCTCCTCCGGGGCTGCCCCAGGAGGCACCTGCCCGGGCAGCTCCCCAGAAAGGCAGCGCCCACTGCCGCATGAAGCAGTCTGCTGGGCTCCAGGGCCCGGCAAGGACACCGGCCGGCGGTCAGGCACCTTCCTTTGCAGACCCTTTCGGGCACAGAAGGCGCTGGCATGCTTAAGAACAGAGCGCGCCACTGCGCTCGGGAGGCCCAATGAAGCCGCCAGCAGGCCACCCTGCAGCCACGGGGCTGCACGGGCCACCAAGCCACCCTTCAAAGCCCCTGCAAGCCGTCCGGTCACACGCTTTCCCCAGCAGCCTGAGGAAGGAGGGGAGACAGGAGGGGAGAGAAGGGAGAGGTGGCAGGAAGAGGGCGAGAGCGCTGCAGCGGTCCAAAGGTGCTGATGAGCCAGCCTTCCCGCCCCGAGACACTTGGACTTCAACTCCCATCAGCCCCAGCCAGCACAGAAAACGGTAAGAAATGCTGGGAGCGCACCAAGCTGAGTGAGGCTGTGATAAGATCTCTTTCTTCCACAGATTTGTCTAACTGGTAAAACTAAAACGGTCACAGCTGCTGCCTTGCAGTAATAAATGCCATAAGCTCACAATCTTAAGTCAGCTGCCAACTGGTTTCATGGGACGGCACGACACTCTGCGGGTTTGGAGAGGCAGAGAAGCATTTCTCACACATTGATCCGCTCCTGCTCATACACACTGCACAAACCCTCATTTTCTCTTTTTCCAAGGAAGGGTCAGTGCATGGCTAAAGAAGAGACGTACCGGTCAGTCCGGGGAGCCCAGGAGGTCCAGCAGGCCCGGTGAGGCCCGTTTCAGTGAAGGTGTTGGACAGGAGGGGGTCCCCTGCAACACAGAGAGGGCAAGATCAGGTGCGGGGGAGGACACGAGCCTGAGCGTGAAGCAAGGCCACCCTGCAGCACAGGCTCCCAAGGAAGAGATGCTGACTTCCACCGCGGCCAGCCTGCACCTCCGTCTTGGCGGGGGTGACGAGGATCAAGCACAAGGCTGCCGGGGGCTTTGCAAGACAGTCTGTAGCAGCAGCAGCAGCAGCAGCAGCAGACAGAGCCTTTTCACGGCTATGTCAGGCTTGCTCGGTCCCTGATCTGTAGCAACTCAGGAGCCGTGCTCCTGTCCCTCAGCCGCGGCCTGGGCCAGTGTGGTGCAGTCAGCTCCAGCTGGCGAGCTTTGGGATCCTCGTGAAGGACGGAGAACACACGTGCTTGTCCAGGGAGGCAAAGCTCAGAGCCGATGCCAACAGCAGGTACGGCTGGGCACCAGCACGGGCCCCCGGAGTTGCTCCTCCTCTCTTGCTGGACTAACTGCTGGTCAGCCTGCCTCGTGCTGAGACCAGCGGTGGTGGGAAGGTGCGGGATGCCACGGCCTCCATGCTCTGTGGCACTCTGCCTGCCAGGCAAGCCAGTGGTCCCCTGAGGAAGAGGAGGAGACCGTGGTGCTGCGATGCACTGGGGAGAGGGCCACCAGGGGCGTCTTGCCCCAGGGCCCTCGAACGCACCACAGGCTGCTGTCTCTGTATTTTGAGGGCACCCTGCTTGTCTCTGTCCCTGCCCATCACAGGAACCCGTCCCCTCCGAGAGCAGCTCAGAATCCCCCACTTGCAGCCCCTCAGCCACCCGCCCACCTGTGGGGGAGCAAAACTCACCATAAACCCAAACAGTTAAAGGGTCTGAACAAGCCAGCCTTTGGGATGCCCCTCACTTACCCTGATCGGGGATCGGTGCCACCTTTGGTCCCACTGGGGCCGGTGGGCCTGGAGGCCCCGGTGGTCCAGGGGGGCCCTTCTCCCCAGGTAACCCTCTTGCGCCATCTCTTCCGGGAGGACCCGGGGGGCCAGGAGGACCTGGGCAAAAATATGAAAAGGACAGGTGAAGAGCAGGAGCAGCTGCCACTGTTTGGGGGCTCTGCCCAGGGCAAAGAGCGGCCTCAGTGAACCACAGAGGGAGGACGCTAGGATCCGTCGCGGCTTTGCAGGCAAAGCTTCCAGCTCCCTGAGACTCCCAGGTTTCATTTTGGAATGATGAAAATAAAAGCAAGCAATAGGCCCTTCCTCTTGGGAAGAGCTGCTTGAAAGTGTGTGGAAGGACCTGGCAGAAAGCTCAGAAGCCGGGGGAGGGGACAAGAGGCTCTGAGGCAGCCCCCCATCCCTTGTCCTGGCAGCGCTGGGTGAAGTCGGGACCCCCTGCGCACACTTTGAGAAACTGCACATCTTTGCATAATGTATGGGAAACGAGGGTGTTGCTTTTTGTATTGCAAAGCTAAGGGTACCAGGGCATGGGGTTTCCATCATTTGTGGGTGCGCATGGAAGCCTGGAGAGGCCAAAGGGGGCACGAGGAGGCTCCAAGGGGGCGTTCCAGGCACTGCCCACCTGGCCAGAAAGCTCACTTGAGCGACTGTGGTCCAATCAGGGATCTGCAGCCCCAGCCTGCCTCACAGGGCTGTTGTGAGGGTAAAATGGAAGCGAAGGGATGCTCAGGTTGCTGCTTTGTGCCTCTCGGAAGAAACAAACAAGGGAAAGGAAAGTAACAATGGGTGGAGCAAGGACTCTGAAAACTGGCTAGAAGACAGCCAGTCCCAGCAGCTGCCCTTCCCGTACCCGAGAACGGCAGGGCCCTTTGGATCTCTCGCTGCAGCAGCCCCAGGATCACCCCCTGGTAATACAGGCTAACCGTCCAGGACTGTCCAAACGCACCCGAGGCACTGCAGGAAGGGCCCAGATTCTGCCGCACGAAAAGAAGACACAAGATTTTTCGGCCGCATTTGCATCCTGCTTCCTTGGGCAGCTGCTGGGCCTGTGAACCTCTTAAACGCCCCCAAGAGCGGGGCACGTCACTCCCAGCATTCCCAGCCACCAGTTGTGGGAGGCTGCTAAGGCAGGAGCTGGCCCTTGGAGACGCACTCCCGGCACCCTCGCGATGGGCCCTGCCGCCAGTGGAGGCTGCAGGCCAAAACACCCCCGGGGCCACAGGGCGCCTGGTTTAAGGCCGTCGCCGCAGACCAGGCAAGCATGAAGAAATGGCCCCCAAAGGCTTCGTGCAACTGAACTGCATCCGATGGGAATACAGTTCATCTTGATTTTCTAAGAGACAACCCAGTGGGACAAGGCTCCCACCAGATTTCCAAGGCGCATGCCCAGGACGTGGCCTTCACACGTTGCCTGGGGTGGAGCTAGGGCTGCCACACAAAGGGGATAAGCGGCATGGCGGGGGGGGGGAGGTCACACGGCGGCCCCTGCTGCCGGCCAAGCGCCACGGTGGTCCGGGGCCAGCACCCACAAGGCGCCTGAGAGGCGATCACACGCATCATGGCTGCTGGGCTCCTCCTCCCCATCTCCCCCCCCCCCGGCAGCACCGCCAGGGGGCACCATCACAGGACATGGTTCTCTCCAATGGCAGCAAATGCTTGCGCAAACAGCAATCTCTATTAATTTACTATGTTTATATCGCACCTTTTGTCCTTCCAAGGAGCTCAAGGCAGCTTACATAAACCTCCTCCTCTTTTTGATCTCACAACAACAACCCTGAGAGGCAGGCCGGGCTGAGAACCTGTGACTGACCCAGAGTCACCCGGTTGGCTCCATGGCTGAGCAGGAACCAGAAGGCAGATTGCTGGAGTCCCAGGCCCACACTCAGGGCGGAACAGGAGAGCTGATGGGGCAGCCTGTCTCCGGGCGCCTGATCCACCCCACAGCGCTGCCCCACCCTGTCTCCGGGCGCCTGATCCACCCCACAGTCGCTGGCCGAGGCCTCCTGCCTGAACAGGGCCGGGGGCATTTAGCAGTGCCACACTGCTCCATGGTCCCCAGTTCCTACCTCAGAGCAGGCAAGAGCCCCGGGCTCAGGAAGGGGCCAGGCGGAGCCCTGAGGGGAGGCCCAGCCAGCCAGAGCCACTGCCTGAGAGTGGACCTCCCCGGCCAGGGCGGCAGGGGGCCGAATCAGCTCCCACCTCCTGCGCAGGAGCAGATCCTCTCAGGCGGGAGGCAGCGACAGCCCTGCCGACGTGGGGCACCTGCCGGCAGCACACGCTGGCTCCCCACTCGGCAAGAGGAGCAGCGGCGGCTCCTCGTTCTGCAGCCTGACCCAAGATGACCCAAAGCGGAACTTCTGTGGGCGGGAGGACTGCAGGGGAGCAAAAAGGAAGGGTCATCTGCAACGCATGAGCTCGAGGCAGATGGACTCTTCCTCAAGGGCCAGCAGGCGTGTTCCGAGGCAGCTCAGGCGGCGCTGGAGAGCAGCGGAGGGGAAGGAGGCCGCGTGTGGCCGGGCACTTGGGGAAGCGGGAGCTTGGCCTGGATGCCTTGGATCCGGCCTGCGCTGCTTGTTAAACGCTCCAGGCTTACCAGGGGGAAAGAGGCAGTGTTGGCCCCGTCCCCCTTGCAGCTAAAGGCAGGAGGGCGCAGGGAGGGGTGGGATCTGGCAGAGGCGGCCCTTCCTGCTCATCCCCCTCCAGCCCAGGGAGGTCTACAACAAAGGAGTGGGGATTCGGGAGGAGAGTGGGCGGGCAGGGGGGGGGACTTGGGGGAGGGGAGGGGAGGGGAGGGGAAGGGAAGGGAAGGGGCTGGGCTGGCTGGTTCGTGTAGACCTCCAAAGGGCCGGAGGCGACTTTCTTTGGGATGGCTTCCAAACCCAATAAATGCTAAGCAGGCCCACGGAGGTGGCAGCCTCCCTGCCAAAAGCAATTCCAGCCCCCCTGCGAGCTCGACTCCCTGGCCCAATTTGCATGGGGATGCCCTCATGTGTCCCCCACCCACCCCGCAAACCCAAAGCTACAGGGACTCATCCCCAGTGTAGTCTTGGCGCTCGTCAACTGAAGGCCTCAGGCATCCAGAATTTGATAGCGGAGGCAGGCTTTTCCTCCCTGAATTAAAATTGGAGGCACGCGTCATTCTTCTGCCCCAAAAGGTTGGCTTTTACAGAGGAGGAGAGCTCCAGAGGGGCTCCCTTCTCTGCCTGGTGTTTCTGGAATGAGCCTGACTCCAAACTAAACAGAAGACAGGCAACCTGGAATGATGGCCACCCACTATCCACCGGCCCTGGGCAGTCCCGTTCCATCCACCGGTGGAGTGGGAAGCACACGCACACATGCACCCCCCCCCCTCGTGAGCAGTGTCTGAGCCATTCTGTTGCAGCGCGACAGCGCTCCTGTGCCAGTTGTCCAGGAGAAAACTCCGCTGAACCCAGGGATACATCGAAACAGCGACTCAGAAGGGGCCTCCCAGGCCATCTAGTCTGACCCCCGGCTCTGGCTGGCTCTGCTCACAACATGCCTACCACATGCTCCCTTCCAACTCCACAGACCAGCCTTCTGCAACCTGGAGCCTCCCCGATGTGCCAGATGACTGGGATATGCTGGGAGTGATCATCCAGCACATCTGGAGGGCACCAGATTGGGGAAAGCCAACATAGATTCAACTTGGAAAACACGTCGGACTTCACCAAAAGCTGCAGTGCAGCCTTCTGCTTTCAATCAGGAACGTGAAGCACCCCGGTCTTGGGAAGAGGTGTTGCCATTTCAGCTGCACTGGCAAGCAGGGACCTCAGTCAAGGAAAAGGAGTGAAGGCGCGTTCAGTCTCTGCTCAGTTATTGTCCTCATGTCCTGACTTCTGTTGAGCAGTCAGAAACACAGCTTGAAAGCCTCGTTATCAACTCACTGACTTGCCAGAGCAAGTGGGGTTCTGATGGCGTCCTTCTGTCCTGAAAAAAGCCCCCAAACTGCTTCCCCCCACTCCCATGTTCCCTCTCCCCCTGCACCGCTGCATCCATCGTGTCTAAAGTGTAAGACAAACGAGGAGAGGCCACACAATCACACACACAAAGGATTTTACAAAGACCACACAGTCATACAGAGACAGGCAGGGTGACTCCTGCGCAGGTGGGTCTTTTGGTGCACCAAAGTCGCCTCGTGGTCCCGACCGGTTTCCACATGGGAAAGCAGTTTTGGGAATTCCCACCAGAGGAACTTGGGGCCTCCGCTCACCAGCCCAGAGGGAAGAGTTCCTGCAGGCTGCTCAGCACGGATCCTCACCCCAGAGGGCAACTGCCTGGAATATCTGCCTGACGGAGGAAGCTCCCCCTTTCAGCTTCTGGTTCATCCATCCTTAAATTCAGTTTGTTCTGAACTGAGAATCTCTGGTAATTGTTTTGTTTTGCCAGTACACATTCCATTTTGCACGCAGCTTGTATCTGCCAGCAACAATGCATGTGTACATATACGGCATTTTTACTGTTACTTTCATAAATATACAAATGCGGGTGTGTGTATTTCCCTAACACACAAATTTTACATGCATTTTTATTCCATTGCAACACTCAGAGACGTGCAGATTTCAGAAGGGGATGGAGTTTCAGTTTGGGCACTGGTTTGAACCTATCGGACCAATTTCTTCCTGTCCCTGTGCCATCTCTGAGAGGCCAACAGAACTAAGGTTGCAGTCCTGCATGTTTAGGCAGACGAAAGTCTTACAATGCCAACAGTTCCTACCCTGCATGGCCGGCTAGGGCATGCTGGGAGTTTAGGATGTTTTTCCATTGAGGAAAAATGGCCTCGGAGAAGACAGCTCAAGCTGCAGCACTCCAAATAGTTCTGTAACTATAGATGCGTCTCTCTATTTTATCTGTCTCTTTAAACTTCAACTTATTATTTTTCACTTATCACTCAGTTCTCTGACACCTGGAAGTTGTACCATTTTGCTATTACTGCTATAGAAGAGTTGTGAAAATAGGAGGACTAGCAGCACTTTTCTGGTCTAAACACAAATAGGATTGCGGACTGAGTTTCTGGGAAAGAGGCTGTTAAGGGCAAAACTACATGTCCTGCTATTCAGCTCTTTTTCAAAAAAGAGTGCCTACGTGCTCCTGACCTGGTTCAGTCTCCTACTCCGGACACTGCCAGATACCCCTCCACACATTCCCTGACTGCACAAACACTGGGTGTCTCCTTCTATGCCCTTACTGCTCAAATACAGAATATAACACGTCGAACGTTGGAGGGCTGAAAGCAACTGAGATGGGGTGGGGGGGAGCAACCATTTTCAGCAGGAAACTGGCCTGGGGCCCTAATCCAGATCAAGGCCCCAATCCGGTGCCTTTTCTTTTAGGTAAAAGCAGCACAATTTGGAGAGCCAGTGTGGGGATTGGGGAGACCCGGCTCCAGTGCTAGCAGATCTTGAAGCTTGCTGGGTGACTCTGGGCCAGTCACTCACTGTGGCCCAAAGTGTCTTGTGAAAACAAATGCAGAAATCCAGACTGTATCAGGAAAGAAAGTTCTATCAGGCTGCCCTAATTAGACGGGGGGAGGAGGTAGGCCCTCGCATCGCTCCTGCTGAAAGACTTACTATTCTTTTTTCTCTTTCGTCCCCACTCTGCTTTCCTCCTATGTCATGTCTTTTACATTGTAAGCAGGGACGCTTTTACTGCTGATCTGTTAGCAGTGCTAAGACAAGGGCGATGTGAGGCACCGCTGTCCAGCTGCAGTCCCTGCCAGGGTGGAGGCTTACCTTGTGGTCCGGCAGGACCTTTGACCCCAGGAATCCCTGAGGGGCCCCGGATGCCAGCCTCTCCTTTTGGGCCCATGGGGCCTGGAGGTCCTTGTGAGGCCAGCTTCCCTGAAGTGGAGAGAGAAAGAGGGAAGTCACGCCTGCTCCGGATCATGTGGGTGAAAGGGCGTCCGTGGCAGTGGGCAGACATGTATGGGCTCGAGTTAAAGTGGGGCACCAGCAGCGGGGACCGTGCTCTCCCCCTGCCCGCCGCCCCCCATTACTTTGAGGCACCCTGGCTGGAACCAGGACTTCTTACACGCCTGCCTTCCCCATGGTGTGTGCCTGGCAGGCGCTGCCGCACCTGCCTGCGCAAGTCAGTCCGAGCAACCTGCCCAGGCGAAGTGGGATGGCCAGAGCCCTGCCCTGCCCTGCCCTGCCCTCAGGCCTCTGCCCTGCGCTTCACGTGACTCAGGCTCCACCCGCCTTGGGCCACCGGGAAGGAGGAGGCAGGAGGGCACTCCCAGGCATGCCGGGAGAGCAAGGCTGGCCTGGCACCGAGAGGCTCTGTGCTTGCCCAGGTGGCTCGAAAGCCCTGAGGGAAAGGCCTGGGGGCTCTGCACTGGGCGCCAAGAGCGCAGGCGCTTCCGGGCCAGTGGCCAGCACTCAGGCGAAGGCTGCAGCCCAAGCAGGGCCTTGTGCCACGGAGCGTGGCTGAGCCGGCCAGCCGAACGTGTGCGTGCTGCCGGCACTGGGGAGACGGTGCCTGAGGTCGGCTGCACCCAGCCTGGCCGGGCCGACGGCTCCCCCCCAGACCCTGCTGCTGCCGACCCCCACATGCCCTTCCACTCTGTGTGAGGACAAGGACGGGTGGGGTGGCAGCGAAGGGGAGGCTTTCTGCGCATGCCCCGAGGGGCTGCCCAGGCTGCACAGAGGGCTGCTGAGACCCACGGCCCATCGCCGGCTCCCTGGACCAACCCCCGGGCCTGTGGAGCTGGCCTGCATCTTGTTCTAGGAGCCACGCAGTCGTGGCCGTGGCCACATCCACCCAGCGGGAGGGCCTGCTCCTTGGCAGGGCACCTGGCCTTCCCTCGCCTGGCAACGCCCAGGATGTGTTGGAAGCTTTACCTGGGGCAGAGAACAGGCCCGCGGCCACTGTGCGGGCGGACTGGGCGATCGGGCACATGCAGGATCCCTCCCCACTTGCCCATTTTTAAAAGCCAGGGGGCAAAATCCAGTCTGCCTGAGGTCCCACACTGGTCCTCCTGTCCATGCTGGCTGAGGGAATGGGGTTGCATTCCAACAGCTCTGAAGGAAAGGAGGTGGGAGAGGGCTAATCCAGCCTCTCGGGGGGATCAGGAAGCGCAGCTTCGTGGAAATGGCGCCGGGTGTCGGCGGCTGGCCTCGTACACCTGGAAACGCCCCCGCAAAAACACCTCGTCTTCCAGCAGCACAGGGCTGGGCTCGTGAAGCGCCATGCCTGCTAGGACATAAGGAGGCCCGCCTGGGTACATACCATCCCGCCCTGGGGTGGCTGTCCTCGGTCTCTCCCTGGGACCTGGAGAACTTGCAGAACACGGAGAAGTGACCCTCAGTGGGAGCCCCACACAGGTTGTCCAGCATGTGGGGCTGGCGGATACATTTAGAGCTGCGAGGGAGTGCTGTGGGCACTCTCTCAGAAGGGCTGCTGTGGGGAGAGGCGGGCAGCCCATTCGTAAGTGGTGAATGGGTGAGACTACAGGGGAATGACTTGCCCAAGAGCGTAAGGATGCGGTCTAAGCGTAAACCCAAAGCCACCGCTTTGACCCCAGGCAAACACATCCCTGGGAGGCAGCCCTCGTACGGCAGTGTGCTAGCCTTCTCATTACCATGCTTTTTTAAACCAAGCAACATTAACTATCTCAAGGGGCAGGAAACTGGGCAGGGGCAAAAGACGTGTCTGCAGGAGCCGCGGTGCCTGCAGGGAGCGCACCGGAGGCCCTGTGCAGGCTGGGCTGGGTGGAAGCTGCCCGAGCGCCGGTGGGCCGCACAGGTGGAAGCTGCCGATTTGCACGGCACATCCTTGGAACGTTACGAGGAGACAAGCGGACTGGGCGTGGATTTGCTCAGGGTACAATTCACCACGACAGTGAAAACGAGGAGGTTCATGCATCACTTTGCGTGCCCAAGAAAACTCAGGCAGGTCCTGTTGGCTCAGGGCCACCGAGCGCATCACCGAACCCTAGTCCCAACCACGGCTGGCCAATAATTTGGAATATCCAATACAGGAAATTGTCTCAGGTCCTTGGCTCATCGCTCTCCCCAGCACTGAACGCAGCACCTGCATGGCCGCCAGACCGCAGCCAAAACCAGATCCAAGGAAAACAGGAGGGAGCCATCAGCACGTGCAAGTAAATGCACAAGGTGCGGGAGAATGAAAGCCTTGGCCTTTGGGCTTCCCTGCCCTGAGCCACTGAATTCTGACTCTTATTATACCATAAGAACCCGGCTAGATCCAGGCACGTTAATGGCAGCCCCATCATGGTAATCGAACCTTATCTTTCACTGTGGCTGGATAAGAAAACGTTCAGTATAAGGCTGCGTGAGAACCTTGTCTTTGAAAAACTTGCCCATGTCTTCATGGATAGGCTGGAAAGAGTTTAAAAATGAAAAGGTGGGAGAAAAGCAAATCTGGGAAGTTTTGTCCATCCTATCAAAGATCTGAGCACTTAGCTCTCAAACACCTGGCTCTGGAGCCGCATGTATTTAACCTTTTCTGTGATGGCTGAATTACAGCGAACACCATTTTTTCTCTGACAGGTTCCATACCTCTAACAGCTACAGATGGTTTTGGGGAATAGTGGCAATTGCTTCATGTGGCCAGTGCAGAAGTGTGACCATTTTACCCAGCTCATTTTTATAATAAGAGCTTTCCCATCTTTGCGAACGTCACAAATGATTGCAAAGGACTGGGGAATAAAACATTCTGAAGAAGAAAATGAAACGGATAGCTTTGCCCATCCCAAGTTGAGTGCCATTTGGAAAAATAGAACGGAAAAGTTGATCCGGAGAGCAAATGGCCTTGTTTGAGCCTCTGACAGCTTAGACTGTCCTGGAGGAGGATAGGGGCCAGCTGGCTGGCCCCATGTGAGTGAGTGACAACACACTGCAACATTTTGCTGCAGTTCCCCCTTGGATAGTGGATAGAGCATGGAAGAATGGCAGCTGAGAGCTTTTATCAGGACTGTTCAGGTTCCCTCTCCCTGAATACTGCCTGCTGGCTCCATCTCTCCCCTGAGAATCATGAGGGTTAGAAAAACTGTCCTTAAAGAAGGAAAGAAATCCAGTCTGTAAATTGCAAACTTCTGTAAGTGCATTTCCAAGGGTCTCCAGGTTTCCCTGGCAGACATGGGGGTCTGTGATCTCAACATGTGACGTGCTGGCACAACACGTCGCTGTGCCAGAGCCCTGACTCTGCGGCCTCACCCACACGAGCACCGTCAACTGGGCTCGGTTGCGAAGCGCCTCCGAAGCTCCCCAGGATCCAATTCTGGCACCCAGAGCTCTGCACGGGCATCACGTTCTGTGCCTGGGGAAACGCGGCTGGGGAGCAGCGCCTGCTGATCAAGCACCGTGTGCAGAGCTCACGACACCTTTTCTGAGGTCCGTGACGAACAGCTGGGGAATGGGAGGCGCTGTCCGCATTCCGCGCAGGGACCACCTCTCCCCCCGCAATGCGCGGCCCTTAGCAGCTGCTCCAGTCCTGCCCGCATCTCCCTTCCAATCAGGCAGGAGCAGGCGCCCTCCTTCGTTAATTGCTCCCTCCCCACCCCTCCCCTCCCCTCACCCACCAAACCAGAAACACATGTTCCATCAGAGCAAGGAAAGGCCCGATAAACCCTTCCAGCTGCAGAAAGCTTCAGCCCAAGTTGGAGCCGCTGCCAGCCAGCTCCGGGATGGCCCCAGCTGCTTTCAATTGCGGCCCCTTGGCCTGGTGTGCTTCTCACCAGCCCTGATGCAATCCTGGCACGGGACTTGGACGGGGCAGGCGGGCAGGCGGAGGGGCTGGCTGGAGTTGACAGGCACAAGCAAAGCGCCCCGGACCCTCTCTCAATCCTGGGACGACAAGAGCCCACCCCCATGGGCTTCCCCACACTTCTGGCAAACCGGCAAAGCTTTTCTCACCGGAGCTAAGCTGGTGCAAATCACGATGTGGCTGGAGCGCAGAAATGCTATGGAGGGCTGCTTTCTGAGACCCTCAGCTCCCCCCATGCTTCCCTGCTTTACTTTTCGCTTGCTTTTAAAACGTGCTAGATTACCACTGCAATCAAGCACAGACAGGACCATCGGGCCTGGGGGTGTTGGGAACTGTAATCCAGAACATCTGGACATTCTCAACTTGGGGAAGGCTGCTTTTAGAGGAAAGGTGTAAAGATTCAGTGTCAGGATCAGCCTCCTTCATGAGAAGAAGGCCGGGCCTCGTCCGCCCCCAACGCCTTCCTTTCGGGACACTTGGAGAGGACACAGGGCATTCCCTCAAGATGCTTCCTTGCCTTTCCTCAAGTTTAGCATCCAGGCATCCAACTGTCCAAACAGCTGGTGTCTTGGTCCATTCTGGTCTTATGCATCCAAGCATGTTTCCCTCTGTCCCGATGGGTCCCCCAATGCAGCTAATGACCAGAACAAAACACACAGAACGCAAAGGGCAGGACAACGGGACAAAAGGGCAGCAGGCCAGAGGAGGCTGGCCTTGACCAGAACATAGCAGAAAGGGAAGCCAATGAGGAAGGACCTCCGACACCAGGTGCCTCCACCAAGCAAGAGTTATTTGGCATTCCCACGTGCTGGTCTTTAGATGATGGTGAGAGACAGAGCTAGGAACACCAGCTAGCTAGGCAGACCTTTAGAAGTTCAGCTTCCCAGCTGTTCATTTCCCCACCCGCACACCCACCGGCAAACCCAGCCATCTCCTCCCTTCACTTACTTTTGGTGTTCTCATCTCCGGGGCTTCCTTGGGCGGGTAGAGAGCCCCATAGTGCTAAGGAATCGGGAGAGGTACCTCCTTTAAGAGGGAGTTGTCCGCTGGGTATTGCAGAGGGGATGAACTCCGCGGTCGAAATGGTTGCTACCTGAAGGCAAGAGTGAACGTTTCCAGAAATGCAGATGCTCCGCAAGGCAGGGAAAAGACAGATGTTCACAACCAATCCAAGAAACCTGGTGGTGGAAACCCCTGAAGGAAAGCTGTGTCACGGCTGTGCAAAGGGACCACGCGGTGCAAAGCTCTGCGAGCGCGCCCCACCCATGGCAATGAACACAAGGGTAGTCCTCAGGGGGTCCCGGACTCTCTGCCACTTTCCACCTGGGATGGTGCGCCATGCATGAACCTGCCGGGCTCCTGGCCAAGCCAAGCCAGGGAGGCCTCTGCGGAAGAGGTGGATTTGGGGGTGTCAGCCAATCTCACAGCTACCAAGATGCCCTGCTGCAGGGATGACTCCCCGAGGCTCCAGAGAACCCTGGGATCCTGCCCCAGGCCCTGCGGAGTTTCTGACTCCGCTCTGTTGCCCCACAGCTCCCTGGAGCATCAGGGACAACACGCCAGTAGGACCACCAGGGGCTGCATCCAAGCACCTGCCTGGCCACCAGGAGACCCCTCCATGCAGGCTTTACCTGCTTTCAATCATTTTCTTACCTACCAGGGTTTGAACATACATACATACATACATATTCCAAAGTTCTCTGAAGATGTTTTTAAAGATACTCCTGAGAAAGGCTCCCCCCGCCCCGAATCTGGGCCGAAACGTGTCGGCTTTTTCAAGCTGAAAGCTATTTTTCTAGTATCCTTGTCTTCTTTTTGCACACGGCCGTTCACGCCTGGGTTACCGAGTTCACCGAGCTGCCTTGTGAAAGCCGCTGCTTCAGGGACTGGGCAATAACCCTGTGAGTCTTGGTCTGCCCTGGAGGAACTTTTCAGGGCCAGGAGTCCCTTCCCAGGTGGCGGTTGGAATCGGGCTGCTCCCAGCAGCAGTAGCTACAGAGCAGTGCCTGGCTGCTCAGCTGGCCAGGAAGCCTTCTTAAAGGAAGGGGAAGTGCCTCTTGACTGGCCCCATTCCAGCGGCTTCCTCTCGAGGGGCAGGACAGCTTTACCAGGCAGAGCACCCTTGCTGAGACTGCTGCCCCCTCCCCTTCCAAAAATAAGAAGAGATCCTGACCTTGGCTTCCAGGAAGTTGAGTCGCTCCAACAGCTCTGAGAATCTGCTGCAATTTAAACAACCTACGGGCCAAAAGAGGCAGCAGCATGTGAAAAGTGGCTCCAGGACTTTAAAAGCAGCAGTCAGGGATGGTCCAGAGGGAAACTGCAGAAGTGCATGTGCAGCATGAAGAGGCTGTGTAGGCATGTTTTAATTCCCCTTTGGGGACAGGCATGGCCCTGAAATGCAGCAAAGGGCTAAGCAGAAAGATCTGCATCGACCTCGTGGCCGGCACCACCCCATTTTTGCGGCCTGGGATGGCAGCGAGAGGCGGACACACCCCGTGGGCTGCAACTGGGCTTGGTGGCTCAGCGAGATGTCCGGGCCCACCCTGGCCTCCAAAGGCTGTCCTGACCGCGCAGCAACAGCCCGGTGGCCCTTCCACAATCTCCGATTGCAATATTGTGGCAGCCTCACAAAACAGCAGAGCCGTGGCGTGTGCATTTCTCAGCTCACGCAGCGGACGAGCTCACCGGGCCAGCTCAGTGTGATTCCCACAGTGGGGGGATTAACGTCTTGCCCCAGAACCAATTCTGTTAAGGCTCTGGCAAGGGCCGGCCATAAAAACCCTCTTGAGCCAGCGCTGCCCGAGTCCAGAGGGATGTGGGGAGAGTGGCTCTCGGGTTCCTTTACCATAGCCAAAACCATGCACTTCAGTGCTGCCCAAACAGCTGTTTCCTATGATCTTGGAGGAAACACACAGCTAGTCTGAGTGCTCAGGGAGTATTCAAGTGACCAGAGTGGGCCAGAGGCCTCGTGACACACGGTGAATCTCTGCTCCTGATTGGCTGAGCACTGCAATCTCTTTTGAAACGGGCATTGTGGACTTTTTAAATCTCTCTCCTTCTCTCTCCCTTGTTCTGCAAGGAGCCAAGAGGGCTTCATACAAGCCTTCTCTTTCTCCCCATTTTATCTTCAGAACAACAACCTTGTGAGGCAGGCTGGGCTGAGAGGCTGCAACTGGCCCAGAGTCACCCAAGGAGCTCCATGGCTGAGTGGGGACTTGAACCCGGATGTCCGGAGTCCCAGTCCCTCACTCTCACCTCTACCCCCCGTGGGCTCATAACAAGATTGCGGCTTTACAGAAGTTTTCTAAGATCTTCAGGTGCCTGCAGCCTGTTCTACGCTGAATGGCAAGCAGTGGGAACATCAGCTGACACAGCCAATAAAAACAGATAAACACATTTATGACTGCTTGTTACACACCAGCCATGAAGGCAGACCTGGCACTCCACTTGTGATGGGAGTGGCCTCGCCGCACCTTTGCAGCTGAGAAAACCTTGCCATTCTGACCCTACACCATGTAGGAAAAAGGAAACTCTGCCCATTATTAAAGAGGGGGCATAGTTTGAAATCGACATATGGATTCCTGTCCAAAGCAGATGAAAGAATGCCATCGTTTCATCTGAAATAAAAAAGAGTTATTGATGTAATTAACTGATGTAACGTAATACGAATGGAATTGTGATCCATCAGGCCCCTCATCCTGATCCAGGATTATCTCGGATGGTGATGCGAATTTTGAATCTCTAGGGATATCTATTAATTCATTATTTAAGACACACTGCACAGTTTCTGAATGGAGGTACAATGACTGCTGGACCAGTCTGGCCGGGAGCAACGGAGGAAAGGGTGATTCCCCCGCACCGGGCTGTGCTCCTGCTTGTGCCCCAGCTGGGCATGCGCAGGGCAGGAAGCAGCGAGACGCAGCGGGCATGTGCAGGATCTGGCTCCTGTGAGTAAGTGCGGCCGGACAAGTCCCTTTCTCGGTGCGGGAGAAAAACGAGGGGACCTGATGGCATCCACTCTTGATGAGGCACAGTCCAGCCCCCAGGCCAAAAGGTGGTGTCCAGCTGTCCTTTAGCAGAAATACTACTAAAGAAGAACTTCCTTGACTTACTTGTATGGATCAGATCTTCTGGAGAATTCCCGATGCGGCCAATTTTGCCCTGGAATTGGCTAACCTTTTCATGAATTGGTTTGCACATTCACATTGAGCGAGAGTAAGTCTTACAGGAAGCCCATAGGATATGGGCAAAGTATATTTGGAGGATACTTTTTATATTCGGAAAGGGGCAGAAATCTTGCTTGAGGCAGATTTAGAAATTCCAAACATAATTTGGCTTGGCATGTGACAGAGCTAAAATGCATTTATTGAATATTCAAATAAGGAACAATTAAGTGTATTTACAAATGCTTATGAGTAAGAAAGCAACAGATATGAATTCCTTTCTCAAATGCACGAGTTATCATCTTGTACATTTTAATGAAAAATCTCCCATACTCCCAAGTATGGAGAATTCGGAGAACTTGTAGGTGCATTCCAGATTTCTTGGGACAGGCTAAGCTTGCAATGTAACAAATGCATGACAGAAAATACCCTTGTAAGATCTTAAAACAAGCACTAGGTGAAGCAAATAAAAAAAAAAGAATCAGTTTTCTTCCAACTGAATGTGCAAAAAACCTAAGTAAATAAGGAGAGAGCATCAGGAGCACTTGATGGGAAGATCAAAGGAGTCGTTTGGAAATGCTGGTACTCTTTAGAATATACTCTTCTTTGGAGGGATGACTGCATGTTTGCCCAGAAGTGTAAACAAAGTCCAAGAGACAAGCGGATGAGTGGGGAGTCACAGCATCAGAGCCTTAGGTGGTCATGCTTTTAAGGGTCACTCCCCCTGTGGAAAGTGTAGGGTTTCCTCAACTGTAGAAACACTGAGATCTATAACAATCCCAGGAACAATATGGAGTACCAGATGGCTGATTTTTTAAAGTGTAACCACAAAGGGGGTTGCATGTTGTACAATGCCCCAGGACAAGGTACTGCCCTCTCCTCCTCTGGTATGCCCATGAGAATTAAATTGGAAATGTCCACTTCAGTTTTAGATTAGCAGCAGGTACCTGTGTCATCTGAACCCTAAACTGTGGTTAGTCATAACTAGGCTTACTGAGGACAAGCCATCTTCCAAACTATGGGTTGTATCCAATGCCAATCCCATGCAAAGCAGACCTATTGAAATGAACAGGCCTTTAGTTAGGAGTAACTTAAGTCTCACTCGATACTATCCTATGGTTTGAAGCTGGCATGTTTCTGCTAACCAAGTTAAGATAAGGTGGACTAGATGGCCTTTTAGGCCCCTCCCAACTCTGTAATTCTATGATTCAACGACTATTTTTCCAGATTCAGACTACATGGCATGCAGTGGTTTACCAAAAGTGGAAGCAAACATTTCTGAACTTCTCAAGGCTGAGCTTGAGAGGGCAGGACAGAAGAGCCCAAAGGAAGGCCAGGCTCAGCCATGTAACATACACCAGGATTAATGTTATATCTAAACTAGTCCTTACTTTAATGCAGATTTTTGTTTGATTTTTTAAAAAATCAGATTAATTAAAAAATGGGATAGCACAGGCTGGTGAGCAAGCATAGACAGAAAACAAATGGTTCACCCAGCCCTGCAATGCCCTCAGCTCAGACCTGTGTGTCTGTCTTTGCACCAAATAATGAATTGCGTGGAGGCTAACAAAAGTTTCCTCGATAGGACAATGTTTTTGGCATTCAGATATGCCAAAGATGTGCAAGCATTTGCTGCTTGTGCTCTTGACAAACACCTGCCTTCTCCCACATGTTGCTGCCCAGTGGCCAAGGTAACCTCCGCGGCGTCTTCTCTGGTGCCATCACAGACAATGGCGGTTACCGGGAAGGACCTTCCGTGCGTGGAACGCCGTTCCCCAGATCTGCCTCCCATCTTCCCTGCGCGTGTCCAGCCAGTTAAGCCCTTCCCCTTTCAGCAGGCATTTCATTTTCTTCGCCTGGTGCTCTGATTATTGAGGGCGCTAAAATGTGATTTACATTTGCAAACCTATGCAAATTTAGACAGAAAGAAAGGCTGGCAACTGGGCTGGGGCACAGTGGGAGGTGTGGGCCCTTTTTCTGCCTACACTTGCATGCGATGAGGCTTGCGATGTTTGAGCACGGAGCACGTTCATTGCGGGATTAGGTGCTTTGGTCACTGCCTTCTTTTGGTCACTGTCTTCTCGTTCTGGAACTACTGGTGTTTTAAACGATTGCAGACACCTTGGGAGTGCGAGGTCCCAGCCAGGAAGCGAGTTAAATAAAGGAAGCCATTATGACGGACGCAACTGTGCACCTGGGAGCCGAGCTAATCAGAAGAAGCAGGACGCTTGCCTTACCTGCCCCCCCCCCCCACATGAAAACCTTACTGGAATAAGTCGCAGGTCGGACGGGGAGTCTGCGTAGAGAGACATCCTGAGGTTCCGGGTAACTGACAGTCTCTGGAAAAAGAAAAGGCCAAGGGAGAGAGGATTGTTTAGGGCGCGGCCTACCAAGACCTTCCACAGCCAGGCTCTAAAGGACAGAGCCGGCTAAAGAACCCGAAGGCACCGAGGGAGGCAGGTCTCGAATCGGGGCCTGCAGCGAGTGGACAGTCGCAGGCGACTTCTCCCTTCCACCACCAACCCTCAGGCTATGCTCTACAGCACCCGGGTGCCTGCTAGGTATGTTGGACTACGGCTCCCATCAGCCCAGCTCAGCTGGCTGAGGAATGAGGGACTTGCAGTTCAGCACATCTGGGGGGCGCCAGGCTGGGGGAAGCTGTGCCACAGAATGGGGGTGCCGTGGCTCTGGGTGCTGTGCTCATTGGCCCACTGGAGGTAAACCATTCCGGGAAACATCCTCCCTCTGGGAAGCTCCATGCCTCGGGCAGCGGCACAGAGCCCCCTGGCGTCCCCGCCAGCCTGCCTCACCCGTCCCACCTGGTATCCGATCCCAGCATAAAGCTCCCTCCGGCCTCGAGCCCGTTTGTGCTGCACTCCTGTCCACCAACCGGCTGGCCTTCTGCCCAGACCTCACTGCCTTTGCTTCAGCTGTGCTGAACTCAAACTCTGGCAGCTCCTCGCCTGATGCAGCCTCTGCTCAGTGCCCTCTTCCACCGGAACCTCTGCAAAACCAGCCAGATTCCCCCGAAGAACCATGATTCTTAACCAGGGTTTGGATTTAGCTGAAGCTGGTGTGCATAAGAGGGTGCTGTTTCTTTCTTACTACCCAACTGGCAAATGCCCTTAGGGCAGTTTGGAATAACAGGAAAGCCAAAAGCAAAAAAATACTACCATTAAAATATCAACATGATAAAACATCGAAAGATATTAAAAGATTTTAGTGCTAGAAGGAAAGTTAATAATCAAAACTACAGGATATAGCCACGCCTGCTGGGGAAGGAGGTCTGAATTTGACCTCGGCAGATATAGAGTGAATTGCAGGGTGAAATATGCAAGGCTTAATGGGGGGGGGGGCGGGATTTGTGGCCATCCAGATGTTCTGGCCTGCAACTTCCATCAGCAAATCCCACGGTGAAAGATCATGAGAACAGTATGGCAAACCAACTGGAGGGACACAGGTTATCTACTACCTGTTTAACATCCATATTCAATCAAGGTGCATCCCATACAACATTCTATGAGGCAGCCAATCTGGAGGCAAAAGAGCTGCGGACGAGGCAAGATCGCAGCAAACAGAATGAGATAACCAAGGCATTTTTTAAACTGGGGGGTCTTTGGCATGAGAACCCCCCTTCTCCAATAGGAAAATGTCTCACTGATCAAGACTGTCCAAGAAGTAGCATTTGTTATCCAAAAAGAGGTCATATAAAAAGCAAAGCATCCGTGTTAGCTGGCTTCTGTCCTATCGGAATGGCTTCTTGTACTACCGACTTAATGTTCAAGCACATTTCTACAGCCAGACCCATCTTTTGGCAGGATTCGCACCCAAATGGGTTCCGAAAGCAGCAGAACAACCCTTCACAAAGGGACCCCACCGCAGCCATCAAATCTGCATCGAAGAAACCTTCCCTAAGCTGTCCCACAGAGGTGGTGACCAAACGCGGTCACAAGGGCAATTCATTTCCACCACGCCTCCGTTTCTGAATTGTCTTGAGTCTGCGAGACTCCTTTCCACAAGGCCCCGCAAGAATAAAAACTCCTAATTGTCAAGACGCTGCCACCAAAAGAAATCTCAGCAGCCTGGTAATGGAGGCTTTCGAATGAGGCCGCGCCCCACTAGAGACGAGACTCAGGTCGGCCACGGACTTCCTGCAGGGGTGTGGGCACCAAGCCCCCCAAATCAGCTCCGTTTCCTTTTGCAGACTCAGATCACCGGTTATATCTTGCTCCAGGGCTGTCAGACAGCCATTCTGGACACGTGCATGGCTTTTGGATGGTCTGTGACAGACTGGCAAGGGTTTAGCACAGGAGCAACACTGCACGCAAAACGAGATAGCCTGCCACAGCAGCCTCGTGCAGAATCGCCCCTCCCTGCGCCTCAGTGATCCCTTGGCACTGCAGGCACCGATCTTTGGGCCCACACCTAGCGGCACGCGGGCCGGGCAAACCGAGCCCCATGGGGTGGGGGCTGGGCCCCCCGGGAAGCTCCCTGAAAGCCCTGCGGAGGGAAAGGAGCTGCACGGAACACGCAAGGGAAGCTTTCGGGGCAGGTCTGTAGTTGTCGTGAGCTATGTTACGAGAACCTATAAACTGCCCTAGGAGCAGAAAAACCTTTAAACAGTTGCTGGCATGTTTTAACAGGGAAAGTTTCAAGCAGGAGGCTGCATTGTGATTTCACTCCTGAAGCACAGCACTGCGATCTTGCAGTCCTGACCAGCAATGAGTCTTGCTAAGGGCCGGGTATTCCGCCTACAATTGAGGTATTTTCCTGTTGTGTTCAGCATCTGTGTGTTTATGTGTGTGAAAGTATGAGCCAGGTTTTTGCTTTTCCCCCCTGTATTTTTCCCCTTCCCTCCCATCAACTAGGTTTTCTCGCAAATGTGCCCCACACCTGGCAGGTGCTTCCTATCCAAACAGCTTAACAAAACAGCCAAGCAGCTCAACAAAAACAGCTCGCGTCAATGCAGCAAACGCTCAAAAAGATTCTCCCCCCACCCCCCGGGTCACCAACAATGGTATTCATTTATTTATTATATTTCTATCCCGCCTGTTTCCCTCTGAGGAAGCCTTCTCCTCCTGCTGCTCCCAATCTTACCCCTGCAACAACAGCCCTGTGAGGCAGGCTGGGCTGAGAGGCTGTGACTGGCCCAAAGTCACCCACTGAGCTCCAGGGCTGAGCGGGGACTCGAACCCGGACCTCCTGAGTCCCAGCCCTGTGCTCTTAGCCACCACGCCATGCAGGCGCTCTGCAGAGGGATGGCTGGGCACCTGCTGGGGGTCAAAGACAAGAGCCTCCAGAGGCTGCCCTTCCCCAGCCAGTGGCAGGGATGAGGATGTGGGGAGAAGATGCTGGCCAGCCCACCGGCCCTCTGCCGTCAAGTGGAACCAGTGACGAGGGCGGACGAGCAAGGGAGGCTGGTGCTAGCAGCGGGGACCGTGGGATGCCTTGAAGCGCCCTCTGGACCCAGAGCCAGTGCTGCCTGCGCACCCACACGCACACACCCTGGCCCAGGAAAAAAGCACAAGGCCCTCCATTGAGCAAGAGGAGGGTTTGTGCGGGCCCCGGCCAGCACAACTCGGCCCACGCTTCCCCCACGGCGTTCACTCCCTGCCTCGGCCCACGGCTCCCCGGCTATTTTTCAAATACATCTGGCAATCCCGCCGGCAGCTCCGGAGACTGTTTCTGAACGGGTTTTAGGGATATCAAAGTTGCATCGACTCATTGCACAGGCCAGAACATGGTCAAGTTCACTTAAAAGAAAAGGCACGCTAATTTCAGCTCGCTTTACTGGGCTAAAGAGAACAGAAATGTAGAGCAAGACTTCTCTGAGCTCACAAAAACAGCACTGGCATTCCAGGTTGGGCAAGAGGGGCTGAAACAACCCCTTGGTGAAGGTTGTTGAATACAGTACACACAAAAAGATAATAATAATATTATTGTTAGGAGGAAGAGTCCCGATAACACTGGAATGGGAGAGGGAGATAAAGACCCTGGACGGCCTTGCAAAATATTTGTTCCATTGGTCATTGCCTCAGTCAAGCCCCGAGGGTAGCAGAGGAAAAAACCAGGCTGGGGGCTGTTTTGAAGGCAGGCTTCCGAACTCAGGAAGCTCCACCAAACCTGCAAATCAACTCATATATTTGGGGGCTCTGAATTTTAAAGGATGCCTGAAAGAAAGCAGTTTTGAAAATACAGGACCACTCAATTGCACATAATACAAAACAGCCAAGCCAAGCCTGTATAATATTCAGTGTTCCATAAAACAGAATTTGCTACATTCTGTTTTATGGAATACTGAATATTATACACATTACAATCCTATGTGTGCTTACTCAGAAGTAAGCCACTTTGAGTTCAACAGATCTCCTCAGGAGACTGAAGCCACTGTTTCGTATCGCTGGGCGAGTGTCATAGCGTCCGGTCCTTCGGCCTCTGGAAACCAAACGCAAGCTCACCCCGCAAAGCCATCCATTTGGCTGAGGGTGGGAAGACAGCCAGTGGGCACTCAGCCACCCTTCACTGTGCTGCCCAACGGGGGATGCAAGTCCCTGGACCCCTAAAAGGACAGAGACCACCTGGAGGAGCTAGAGGAAATGGGCTCCGACTCACCCACATGATCCGGACAGTGGAATTCTTCGGAATGGCCCAAGTGCTGTCTGGGGGAGGGGGAGGAGTGGGGCAGAAGGATGAGGGTACCTTTTGGTTAAGCACGCTCAAATTTTGGCACACAATGACAGGAAGTGCTGATGGCCACTAACTCAGCGACAAACAGGATGTTTGGGGTGTTTCTTTTAAGGGCCTCTCTATTTTTATGAAAAAGCAGACTGGGGGAGCAAACTGGTGATGTGGGGAGGGAGAATCCAGCACAGCATCTGCTCCTAGTCCAGATCAGGGCTACAGAGCAGGGCTGCTTTTTCTTCCAAGATAAAAGTTTAAGCATGCTTTTTCAGAATCAGGAATGATGTAACGTTCCATTTACCACCTCGATCCCAAATGTTTCCTCTCCCACCCACCCAAAAAGTCAGTATTCCTTCCCCAAAGAGCATGCTCAAACCACACTGGGCTGGTATTGGGGAGTGGGGTGCCCTACAAAGCATTTCCCTCCTAAATGTATGTATGTATGTATGTATGTATGTATGTATGTATGTATGTACTGGGGATATTTCATCCCCATCCAATCACTATGCATCTCTGGACGGCTTACAACCAAAAACATTATCTTTTGTAGTTCTGCAGGAAAATTGGGGCCACAGGTGCCTGCCTTTTCTGCGCAGATGGTGACTTTCCGCTTGCCCAAACACCGGCGCTTTGGAGACCCACGTTCTCTGCGGATCCC